AACAGTAACAGGACTCCTAATATTTCTGGTACAAGGCCACCCAGAATGAACCTCTTAGCCTTCCTTGCAGCTGTATGTGACCACAGGACTACTTTCTGGCCAGTGGGATATGAGCCGAAATGTCATGTGCAAACATCTAGAAACTTTCTTAACAATGGCAGAAACACCTTGGTCCCTTTTCCCTCCCTGCTGGATGGAATGAAGACATGATAGCCAGAGTTTGAGCAGCCCTTTTAGACCTTGAGACAATACTGGGAAGGAAAGCCATGCACAGCTAAATAACAAAATGGTTCCTGAGCAGAAAAGTGGGTACCACTAGGCATCTATGTGGAAAAGGAAATAAACTTTTATTTTGCTTAAGCCACTGATGTTTTAGGTCTCTATTATTCAGAGCCAAACCTAATTCTACATGTTACAATACTTCACATGTAGAAGAGGCAACCAGGCTCAGGAGACAGTCACTCATCCCAGGTCACACAGTATGTAAGTGGAATAGCCAAAATCTGAACCCAGAGCCCCATGACTCCAAACTTGAAGGACCTAAGCATTTTTGCATGTTGCCTCATGGCTGTGTCACCTTGGACAAGTTGCTACACCTTTCTGAACTTCTACTGTGGCAGTAGAAAGCCCCGGTGAAGAGCTAAGAGAGGCCAAAGGTCAGAAGGCCTGGGTTAGAAGAATGCCAGTTCTGCCTCTTGCTATGTGACTGTAGGCCATGACGTTCAGGGCCTCAGTCTGCTTATCTGTAATATGGAGACAATGAGAACCACCTCCTAGGCTGAGGTGAGAACTTGATGAAGGGAAGGAGACGCATGTCAAATGCTTAGCACAGCCCTGGCCAGGTAGCTCAATTGGTTAGAGCATTAACTCCAATATGACAAGGTTATGGGTTTGATCCTCAATCAAGGCACATACAAGAATCAACCAATGAATGCATAAACAAGTAGAACAAAAAATCAATGTTTCTCTCCCCCTCCTCCTCTCTCTCAAATCAATAAATGAATTTTAAAAAAGTAATGGGTACTGGGTCTGGCACATCATGGGGCTTCAATGACTGGCAGCTATTCATTTCTAAGCACTGGCTGTGTTCCAGGCCCATTGCTGGGGCCTCAGTTATGGCCAAGACAGCACAGACCTTGCCTTCCTGGTCATGTTATAGTTATTCTGACACCACCAGAGGTGGACTCTCCTTAAGTCCAGTAGTTATGTCATGGGTGACACAAGGCAAGTGAGAAGCTCTCAGAGATTCCTCTCCTAGGGTAACAGCAGCCTCAGCCTTACAGGTGACTGAGGATTCAAAGAAACCATATATCCAAAGCTGTTCTCACATAGCCTAGTGCCTGAGAAGGATCAATTAAAATGGTAACTGCTAGTGTTATATAGTTTTAGTTGATCTATTCTTTCAAACCGTATTTGTTGGGCCTGAGCTTGGGATGGAAACGTGACCCAAATACACCTAGTCCCCAAGCTTACAGAGCTAGATATGTATGGAAGGACAGGGAGCTATGACAGCACTTACCAGGATACCTGACTGATTGAGGGAGATGAGGAAAAACTGCCCTACTGACTGAGATCTGACAGATGAGTTGCAGTTAACCAAGTACAGGAAAAGTTCATGCAAAGGCCCTGTGGCCAGAAAGGGCTATATAATTCTGGGAGGTAAACTTATACTTTAAAAAAAAAATCCTTACCCGATGATATTTTTCTATTTATCTTCAGATAAAGTGGGAGGGAGAGAGAGAGAAATATCAACATGAGAGGGACACATAGACTGGTTGCCTCTTAGGGGACCAAGGCCTGGACGAACCGCAACTGAGGTACGTACCCTTGGCCAGAATTGAACCCGTGACTCACTGGTCTGCAGGCGATGCTCTACTGCTGAGCCAAACCGGCCAGTGCAAACTTATACTCTTTATACATCTTTTGTGTTAGAGATGGTCATCTAAGTAGTGAGGAGGCCAGATGGCTTGAGCAAAGGAACAAGGCAGAGTAGGTGGCATAAGACTGGAGGGGGGGGTGAAAGCCAGACCAGCAGAGATTTTTTTTTTTTATCCTCACCCAAGGACATTTTTCAATATTTTGTTCAGATGGGGGGGGGGGGGGGGAGAAACATCAACGTGAAAAGGACACATCAAGTGGTTGCCACCCACACGACCCAACCAGGGCCAGGGACAAACTGCAACCAAGGTACGTGCCCTTAGCGGGAACCGAACCCGGGTCTCTCCGGACCCCAGGCCTACGCTCTAACTGCTGAGCCAAACCGGCCAGGGCCAGCAGGGACTTTTAAAGGCTGTGTTGAGGAGCCTGGGTTTTCTCTCAAGGGAACTAGGGAGCCACAGAAGAGTACTGAGCAAGGAAGGGACAGGGTCAGCTTTGTGCTTTAAAAAGACCTCTCTGAACCCTCTGAGGTGGGTGGGTTAGATGAAGCAGGACTAAAGGCCAGGAGACCAGGGAGGAAGCTGGGACAGTGATACAGTAGCAAGTGGGAATGTCTATATAAATATCATCTAACGGGAAAACTGACCTATTACACAAGTGTCATTTCAAGCTGGGGTCTCAATGACAAGTAGGAGTTAAACAGCTGAGGGGAGGCAATACAGGAACAAAGTGTGGAAGCAGAGCTGCAGAAATGGACGTCGGAGCTATCCAAGGATGAAGCTGAAAGGCTGGTAGAGGACAGACCAGAAAGGCCTTTTAAGTCATGGGATGGGGTTTGGTTTATTCTCCAAAAGCAACTGGAGCATCAAAGCATCAAACAGGAGAGGGAAGTGGCCCGAGTTCACTTAATGAATATTGATGGCACTCCTGTGGGGTGCCATGCCAAACCTCAAAAGTGGTTGAGCTCTGAGCTCTGGGCACTGCAAATACAGCAGTAAGCAAGACAAACAACATTCCAGAGGTGGCCAGTCTCATATCTGGACTGCTGTGAGTGCTACAAAGACCTTCCTTTTTCCTGCTAACACCAGCTGGGCTATGAAGCCACACCAAACAACACAGTATGTGCTAACAAACAGAATGCCACAGGGTTTTACCAATGATTATGCTGCAAAAATGACTGAATATTCTGAGGAAACTGAGCTCTCGGCATATTTCCACGCCCAAATTTTACCAGGATGACCAGGGCCCCGCCCTCTTGAGGAGCTCCCACCCCAGATTAAAGGTCGGTTACTTACAATCTTTTCATAGTACTCCCGCCGCCTCTCTGCCCTCTTCTTGTAGTCAACCATCATGCCTCGGAGCTTCCGCTCATGCTTCCGCGCCTCGTGCCACATGGTGGAGAGGTGAAGCCTGAGGCCTCAACCTGGAGTATGAGAAGAGGGGAGTGTCAGACGGGCTGCAGAAACCACATGGGCAGAATCAAAGTCATGGTGACAGAGCTAATTCTACATGTCCCCTTCAGGGAGAGGCTGCAGAACCGTGCACCTGCACCAGATGCTCAGGCGTATCCCTGACAACTCTGATCCAGGACCTTGGGCAGTCTGAAACCCCCCAGGTGATTCTGGAGTGAGCCTCCACCTCTGGGAAGGGGGGTCCTGGGTTCAAGAAGCTGGAGTCAAGAATGAAAGCTTTTGGAATGGAAGGAGCGAGTGTTTGAAGCTCTAGAGGCAGACCCTAAGCAGCCAGGACTAGAGCTCAAGAGAGAGGGAAGTGCTGAAATGGCTCCTCCGTGGAGATGGGTATGGGTCGTAGGGGGAGGGGAATGAAGGCAGGGGGAGGAAGAGTAGAAAGACTGTGGGAAGAGAGTAGTGAGGTGGAGGTGGAGGTCGAGGGCAGGTGAAGGGCATGGATAGGAGACCGCGACGCTTGTGGGCAGAGGAGGAACACGAGGTAGTACTATCTTTCCTTACAGGGAGCTGAGGTCTAAAGGAATCTGAACGGGGGTGGGGGAATGAAAAAAGGAATAAAGGCTGAGCTTGCAGACGAGAGGGAGTGGGTTCAGTTTAGGGGCAAGGCTCGTGGACACGGGCGGAGCCCGAGGTTTTGGACAGAGCTCGAAGACCCCATTTATCCACCTACTCCCTGGGGGCTCCGGCCATAGTCTTTTTTTGACAAGGGGGCGGGACCTGTAGCTAGCTGCGGGGTCGGGCGCAGCGAGTTCCGGCCCACAGCGCAGGCACGGGCGCGGCCTGAGGCCCGGAAGGCCGAAGACGACGCGGGGTGTGAGATTCTCAGGGCCGGGGCCGAGCAGAGGCTCACAGAAGCCTGGGGAGGGGCGGAGGCAAAGGCGAAGCTGGGTTGACGCCGCCCAAAGGCCAGGACGTCGGGGCCACCGCCTGCACTCACCAGCTCCTCGCCGTCTGCCTCCGCTACGCTCGCGCGCGGCCCGCACAGGAAGCGGAAGTGGGAGGCCGCGCGAAGGGAGCGGGGCGGAGCGTGGCAGAGCGCGCTTCCGCTACAGTGAGGGGCGGGGCCTGAGTGGGCGGGGCTCGGGGTGGGCGGGGAGAGGCCCATGGGGCAGAGTCTGCAGGCGGCGGACTCAAACTGTGTGGTGAAGGCCAGAGGGTGGGGAGACGGGGGCTGGGTGGAGGTGGGTAAAGGGGGAAAATGGGGGACATCTGTAATAATGTCAACAATAAGTAAAAAGTAAATACACCCCTGGTCGGTTTGGCTCAGCGGTTAGAGCGTGGACCCGTGGACCAGAGGGTTGCGGGTTCAATTCTGGTCAAGGGCATGTACCTTAGTTGCAGGTTCGGTTCTGGTCCTGGTTGGGTCGTGGGGGAGGCAACGCAACCAATCCATGTGTCTCTCTCACATTGCTGCTTCTCTCTCTCTAGCTTTCGCTCTTTCTCTCCTGCCCCCCCCCAACTCTATCTGAAGATAAATGGGAAAATATACTCAGGTGAGGCTTTTTTTAAAAAGTAAATACATAAAATTTTTAGAATCTTAATGGGCAGATAAAGATTATAAGAATAGATTGAGGAGGAACTAATAATAAGGAGGAAACATAAATGAATCAAAACTTCTAAAAAATAAAAAGAGACGAGACCCCTAAGGCTCAAAACTCAAAACTTTATTGGGAACATCCTACCCCCTATCTTCATGGGGAAGGAGGGCTGGGGATCTGCACCCTCCTCCCATATATACACTTTTCAGACTCGTCCAGGAGAAGGTGTCCCCAGTTGTGGGGACTGAGTGCATAGGAGAGAAAACCCTTTTCCTCTCTGGACTCAGTTTTCTCATTTGTAAAATGGGCTCAGGGGAAACTGGCTCTGCAGACCTTGCCAGCACAGAAGATGTCCGATTCAGAAGGATGAGGAGGTGGGGAGACCTAACCAAGGGTGGCCCAAGGGGATGGGGGTACTGCCCATCCTGGCTGGGTTCACATGGCTCCTTCCGCCTCCCTCCCCACCCAGTGCCTCTCTTCTGGCACTGAGGGAGCTACGTGGCCTCAGGCCCTGGGGACAGGAGGCCACCCCCAAAGCTTGCCTCACGGTACTGGTTGGGGAACATGTTGCTGCCCACGAGGCTGGCAGTCCCCCCGTCCCCGGGGACTGGAGCCTGGTATGAGTCCATTGTCATTGGCTCAGGGCCAGGTGGCTCCCCGACCGTGGGCCCTGCAACACCATTGCCCGTGACAGCACTGGCAAGTGGTGGTGCTGGGGGCAACATGTCCAGCATGGTGAAGAGCGTGGGGGTCGTGGTGTCATAGGGAAAGCCATCATCCAGGAGGTCCGGCCCGCCAGGGGGCTCCAGGCCAGGGAGGGACACGGTGCTGGGGAAGAATTCTGTGTCTGGCAACAGGGCCGATGGTGGGAGGAATGGGCCTGCAGGGATGAGAAGAGACAGAAGGAAACATGGTGAGCTTTAGAGTCAACTTCTGGCCCAGTTCTAACTCCAATGGCCAGTCCCATGCTAAATGTGTTATCAGTGTGGCCTCCTTTAATCCCAAAGAGAACCAGGGTTGAAACAATACTCCTGCAGTGCTGGGGAGCTTTCCCCAAGAATGAGGGAAGAGAAGAGGCTCAAAAGCCCTCCCCCCAAATATAAAGACAACCCAACAAGTGAAATATCCACACCACAGGGGGCCCAAGTGAGAAGTAACCAGTCCCCAAATTGGAAGGTAAAATGACAAGTGTCATTATAGGAGAGCCTCTGCTTTTGAGACAAGACAAAATTCACCAGCAAAGGCTGATTATGCTTGTCTCAGAAAGAAACACAGGACTGCTGGGACTCTATTTCCCAGCCTCCCTTGCAGCTCGATATGGGCATGTAACTGAGTTCTGTTGGCTGGACTGAGGGCATGATGGTTGGAGCTACAGCAGACATTTGGACCGTGAGATGGAAACTGCAAATTAGAAAAGGCCGAAGTTTGGGACTCTGGCCATCATGTAGCCACCAAACCATCTCTGGGCCACCTACCTCTGGACTGTGAGAGAACAAATAAAGTTCTGTCCTATTGAAGCCCCTGTTATTTTGGGTTTTGCCGTGAATACAGTTAAACATGATCATAATAAATGCAGGAGGCATCCCTGATTTCTGACAGGTTCCTAATATATGGGAACAGCCACTATGCTAAATAACTGACATGACCTCAATAAATTCGAGAAAAGACCCTGAGAGGTAGGGTTTCCAGCTGACAGATGAATAAACTGAGGCCCAAACAGATCACACAGTGGCTAAATTGTGGCCTCAGAATTCAAACCCAGTCCAATTCCAAAAGCCATGCATCTAACCATTACACGATAGTGCCAGGGTGGCTTTGCCCCAAGAATGAGAAAGGGGGACTTTAGACATTGGGAAATTGGGATGATGAAGTAGATGAATGGCAGATGGCTGATAAGGAGGGGCTTTGGGGATTGGAGAGTTAAGATTGATGAAATGGTCTAGGATTGGTGGTTGCTAGGGGTGGAGCTCCTGGGCATTAGTTACCAGATGCAGGGGGTGGGGGGACAACAGGTAGTACTTGCAATCTCCAGGGTGGGACTAGCTGGAGTGTCCAGGCTGGGCTGACTGAGTGATTGGCAGCTGGCAGGAAGCTGGACGCCCTGGGGCAGTGGTGTGTTGGGGACACTGTTTGTAGAGCTAGTGGTCAGCAGATGGGAGATCTCTGATAGCAACCAGATAGGGCTTAGAGTTCATGGGAACTGGAGGCTGGCATGTGAGTTGAGATGAAGGCAAGGGAAGAAGAGGCCAGAAGGTGGTTGGGCTAGACAGGCTCTGCCAACCACGCCCATTCATCCACCTGTTCTCTGCTACCTGTTTCACCCATCATCACTAATCCACACAGGTGCCCAGATGCAACTCCCTGCTCCACCACAGACTAACTGTGTGACCTAAACAAGAGACTTTGCTTCTCTGAGCTTCAGTTTTTTCACCAGTAAAATGGGGGTTGTGGGGAATGATAGCACCCACCTTGCAGGGCGATTGTGCAGATCAAATGAGAAAAGACACACAAAGCACTTATGTGCTTGTCATACAGTGTCTGTAAAATGAATACATTAAAATTTGAAAGGCCAACGAGGTAGGTATGTGGTGAGATTTTTCAGGCGCGCCTCTGAGGCTCTGAGAGGTGGAGCAATTTGGCGAAGGTCACACAGCAAGTAGATGGTCCAGCGGAGATCAGAGCCTCCGGACAATGTCCGTATTCTTCCTACTTTATGTTGCTTGGCTAAGTGGTGTATCACTGGCCTTGAGGGAGCTTTGGGGGGACCAGAAGGAGCCAGAAAAGGAGGGCTGCAACTCACCCTCAGCCCACCCCAGAGGGCAGGAGCTGGCACAGAGCCGGGACCCACCTGAGCCGTGACTGGGCAGGAAGTGGTCCAAGAAGACTGGCTTTTTCCTCCGCCGCTTGCTCTCGATGCCGTGAGGGTCTGAGGGAAAGCAGAGATGAGGAGATGAGAACCCCTGGATCCCGACAGCCCCCAGTCATCTCCTCCCAGGGACCCGGAGATGGGCATGGGAAGGGGCAGAGGGGACGTACCAGAGCTGTTTAGCTCCCCAAGGACATCAGGCATCCCCCGTTTCCGCTTCTTGTCCACGCCATAGCTGTCTGTTCAGGAGATATCAGGGACATACAGAGTAATCCATCAATAAAATCAATTAAGAATTAATTTTAGAGACCATTTAGGAAATTGTTGAGCTGTTCTTGGCCAACCAATACAAATAGATGTCCACACCTTAATCAAAATAAATCTCAAATCCACTTCTAGCCACACTGGGTTTTGTTGTTGTTGTTTTTTTTAATCCTCACCTGAGGACATTTTTGCATTCATCTTCAGGTAGAGCGGGAGGGAGAGAGGGAGAGAGGGAGAGAGAGAGGGAGGAAGAGAGAGAAACATCGATGTGAGAGAGACACATCGACTGGTTGCCACCCATACAACCCCAACCAGGGCCGCGGACAAACTGCAACCGAGGTTCTTGCCCTTAGCGGGAACCAAACCTGGGACTCTCTGGTCCGTGGGCTGATGCTCTAACCGCTGAACCAAACCAGCCAGGGCTGGTCTTTGTTGTTCTTGGAACACTGCAGGCACCATCCTGCCTCAGGGCCTTTGCATTTACTATTCTAGCGCTTAAAACACTCTTCCTCAACTCCCACTCCTTCCCTGGAGAGCGATGTAGCCATCCTCCCATCCTCAGCTCAGCTGTCCCCTCCTCCAGAAAGCCCTCCTTGACCCCTAAGTCTGGGGCAGGTGCCCCCTCTGGGCAATCTGAGTCCCCTGAGCAATTTCTTCCTAGTCCTGTCCACTCTGTTGTCACTGTATGGAAATGGGCCTCCATAGGACCGAGACTCATGAGGGGAGAGAAATGATTAAATCCTCCCAAACGCTATGAGGCGAGTACTGTTATCATTTCCATTTTGCACAAGAGAGAGACTCTGAGAGACCGAAGTCCAGTAAGCTGCAGAGCCAGGATTTGAACCCCAGTCTGTGCAGCTCTGAGCCTCTTCCCCTTTCCCCTCTGAGTTGCCCCAAGCAAGGCCAAAGACCAGGTCTCTGGGGTGGTGGGTCACCCTGGGTTGTTGTGGTTACCGTGGTCACGAGGCAGGTACGTGAAGGGCAGAGGCTCACTGCAGACCCCATCCGTGAGCCGCTGCAGGAAGACATTGACTGTCACAGGTTCAACGATCTCCAGGTCCTCGTAGGGCGGTGTCTTGAACACAATGGCAATCTGGCGGTGCACGTCGGCCTGGGAGAAGTCAGCCCGGCCTTCCCAGGAGGCTCTGCTGAACACCACTGATATATCCTCTGTGGGAAAGTAAGGACATCAGCTGAGCAAGGACACTGGGCCCCCAACTCGCTCAGTCTCCCCCCAAATCAATATTAATATTCCCAAGAATAAAACTAATCATTGTGGTAGCTAACCTGTTGAGCACCTACTGTGTGTCAATCATTATAAATTTCATTGTTGTTGTTAATCCTTACCTGAGGATATTTTTTTTCCGTTGATTTTTAGAGAGAGTGGAAGGGAGGGGGGAAGAGAAAAATGAGAGAGAAGAGAGGAGAGAGAGAAACATTGATGTAAGAGAGACACATCGATTGGTCGCTGGGGCCAAGGATCAAACCTGCAACCCAGGCCCTGGCTGGTTTGGCTCAGCGGTTGGAGTGTCGGCCTGTGGACCAGAGAGTGCGGGGTTTGGTTCCCGCTAGGGGCACGTACCAAAAAAAAAAAAAAACCTGCAACCCGGGCACCAGAAAATAAACCTACAACCCTTCAGTGCACAGGCCATTGCTCTAACCACTGAGCAACGTCAGCTGGGGCTACATATTTTTATGTATTATCTCATTTAATCCTTTTAACAACCCGAAAGGCAGGTAGAATTAATATTCCCACTGTGCCAGAGGTCCCCAAGACCATCATCAGATTCAGTGTTTCATGAAGGAGACTCCCAGGATTCAGCATATAGTCCATGCTCATGGCTAAGATTTATTACAACAAAAAGGCACCAAGCACCCTCAGGAAAGGGAAAAGGTACCTGGGGCGAAGTCCAGAGGAACCAGGCTCAAGCCTCCCAGAGTCCTCTCCCGGTGGAGTCACACAGGACATGGCAATTCCCCCAGTCACAAAACGTGACAACACACACAAAATGCTGTCCATCAAGGAAGCTCCTTAGAGACTGGGAGCCCAGGGTTTTTATTGGTGGCTGGTCACCTAATCACCCTCTGTCTGGCACAAAGCAAAACTGCAGACTCCCAGAAGGAAAGCAGGTGTTCCACACACACCGCGTTGCTCATACAGTGTAGGCACAGTGAGCCACTCTTACAGTCAGGGAATGCGGGGACCCTCCCAAAATACAAGTTCCCGGAAGCCAGCCAACGGCCAACCTGGAAAGCAGGCCTTTCAAAGGATAAGTCTCAGATCTGCTATGTTAATTCTTTTCTACACGCCCACTTTACTTTTTTAAATATTTTTTCCCCTTTATTAATTTTTAGAGAGAGAGGAAGGGAGGAGAGAGAAATAGAAACACTGATGAAAGAGAACATCAGCCCTGGCCGGTTTGGCTCAGCGGTTAGAGCGTCGGCCTGCGGTCCGGAGAGACCCAGGTTCGGTTCCCGCTAAGGGCACGTACTTCGGTTGCAGTTTGTCCCCGGCCCTGGTTGGTCGTGCAGGTGGCAGCCACTCGATGTGTCCCTTCACGTCGATGTTTCTCTCTCTCTCTCTTCCTCTCTCTCCCTCCTGCTCTATCTGAACAAAAAATGGAAAAATATCCTCGGGCGAGGATAAAAAAAAAAGAAAGAGAACATCAATTGGCTGCCTCCTGCATGCCCCCTTCTGGGGATCGGGCCCACAACCTGGGTATGTGCCCCAACCAGGCATCGAACCAGAGACCTCTTGTTGCATGGGTCGACGCTCAACCACTGAGCCACACCAGCTGGGCTTAAAATGTTTGTTTTGTTTTGTTTTGTTTTGTTTTTTGGTACGTGCCCCTGGGCTGGGCTTAAAATATTTTTTAATTTTAATTTTTATTTGTATTTATTGATTTTAGAGAGGAAGGGAGAGAGACACACACATTGATTTGTTGTTCCCAATTATTTGTGCATTCATTGCTTGATTCTTACTTCATTATGTTTTTATTGATTTTAAAGAGAGAGGAAGGGAGGGGGGAGAGGGAGATTTCAGAGGGAGGAAGGGAGAGACAGAAACATCTATCGGCTGCCTCCTGAACACCCCTTATCAGGGAGCCCTGACCAGAAATCAAACCAGCAACCTTTTGGTGCACCAGATGGTGGACGCCCAACTAACTGAGCCACACCAGCCAGGGATCATTGGTTGATTCTTGTATATGACCTGACCGGGGATCAAACCTGCCACCTTGGTGTATCAGGATGACGCTCCAACCAACTGAGCTAGCTGGCCAAGGCAACACACCCACTTTAAAGATGGAGAAACTGAGGCTTGGAGAGGTTAGAAGACTTACCCAAGGCCACACAGCCAGTAGGGAATAGTCAGGAATCAGTATGCTACTCTGCCTGCTCCTCTTCTTCTTGTCTTATCGCATTGCCTCTCTCATCAAACTAACACCACATACTGAGGCTTTATATGTGTCAGGCATGCACAGATTGCTCTAAGTCACAAAAACCCTATGAAGATGGTACCTTTAGGAGCCCCTTACACAGAGGAGGAAGCAAAGGCACTGAGAGGTGAAGTCACTTGTCCAAAGTCATACAGCCAGCAAGCGGGGCGCGAAGATAGAATCCAGGCAGGCTAGAGTTCTTCACTACCAGCTCTGCTAGGGCTTGAGGAAGTTATCTGATATCTCTAGGCCAAGTTTCCTCACCTTAACAGACGATAAATCATAGTACCTACTTCACAGGGTTCCGGTTCTAAAAGGATTAAGCAAATCCCTTCATGTTAGAGGCTTAGACCAGGGCTTAGTATATAACAATAGGTGCTCTGTCCATGTAAAGTATGAGTGTTCCTATTAGCATTATGCAAAGTACTAACTCCAGGCCTGGCACTCAAAAAAGTCCTCAGTAAGCCCTGGCCGGTTTGCTCAGCGGTTAGAGCATCGGCCCGCAGACCAAAGAGTCGTGGGTTCTATTCTGGTCAAGGGCACATATCTCAGTTGTGGTTTGGTCCCCAGCCCTGGTCAGGGTTGTGCTGGAGGCAACCAGTTGATGTGTCTCTCTCACATCAATGTTTCTCTCTCTCTCTCTCTTTTCCTCCCTCTCTCTCTCCCTCCCACTCTGACTAAAGATGAATGGAAAAATATCTTCTGATGAGGATTAAAAAAAAATCCTCAGTAAATGCTAACTCTTTGCAGTGTACTCCTGGGTAGTTGGGATCCCATGTCATCCTACCAGTGACTCATTTAGGAATGAGGAAATGGAGGCTCAGGTGGGGGAGGCACCTGCCTGAGATCAGCCAGTGAATAGATAATGGGACAGGACTCATACCTGCCTCTACTTATTCACCCATACCTGGAATGGTTTCCCTGCCCTGGTCCCAACTTTCAGGCCCCTAACAATCTCCTTGGCCCTCCTCAGATCTCAGCTCAAATGCTGCTTCCTCTGGGAGGCCTTCCCAGATGCCTAGACCATGTCTGGTCTCCCTGTTGTTCAGTCTCAGCACTTTGTCTTCTTCCCTCTCAGCATCTCCCGCTTTGAGCATTTGTAGCTCTTTTCCTAACTTCCACTGAACTGAGAGCCAGTGAGGGCCTGGCCCAGGCCTGTCTCGGCTACTGCTCTGTCCCAGCACTGCCTGGCACAGGGCCTAGCACAAAGGAGCCACCCAATAACCACCCGCTCATTCATCCAACATGTCATAAGAATCTCCCACTCCTGGGTATAGATCCAAAGAATTAAAGACAGGTGTGCAACCAAAGACTTGTACATGCACATTCACAGCAGCACTATTCAGAATAGCCAGAGGGTGAAGATGACAACCCAAATGCCCATTGACAGATGAATGGATAAACAAAACATGGTAGAGCCGCACAATGGAATTTTATTTGGCCATAAAAAAGGAATGAAGCACGAACACACATTACAACAGGAATAAACCTGGAGAACATAATGCTGAGTGAAGGAAGCCAGACGCATTAGGTAACATACTATAGAATTCCATTTGTATGAAATGTCTAGAATAGGCAAAGCCAGAGACAGAAAACAGATTCGTGGTTGCCAGGGGCTGGAGGAGGACAGAATATGTGACCCCTAATGGGTGTGGGGTTTCTTTTCTTTTCTTTTGGTGGAGAATGTGAATGGGGTTTCTAACTAAGGTATGAAATGGTTCTGGAATTGGATGGTGGTAGTGGCATACATGAAATGCCACTGAACTGGATGCTTTGAAATGCTTAGCTCAGGCTGGTGTGGTTCAGTTGGCTGAGCATCATCCTGTGCACTAAAAGGAGGCAACTCATCAATGTTTCTCTCTCGCATTCATTTCTCTCTCTCTCTCTCTCTCTCCCTCTCCCTCTCTCTCTTCCCTCTCCCTCTTCCTTCCCCTCTCTCTAAAATCAATAAAAACATATTTTTAAAATGTTAAAACTGCCCTGGCTGGTGTGGCTCAATTGGTTGGGCGTCATCCCATGCACCAAAGGATCAGCGGTTTGATTCCCAGTCAGGGCACATGACCAGGTAGCAGGCTCAATCTCCAATAGGGGGCATGCAGGATAGAGCCAATCAATGTTTCTCTCTCTCTCCCTCTCCCTTTCTCTCTAAAGATCAATAAAAACATATTTTAAAAAATAAATAATTTTAAAAATTAAAAATGCTTAAAATGTTTTTTGTTTTTATTTAAAGTGAACCTTGTACTCAACCGGTGTGACTCAGTGGTTGAGTATTGACCCATGCACCAAGAGGTCACCAATTTGATTCCTGGTCAGGGCACATGCCCAGGTTGTGGGCCAAATCCCCAGTGGGAAGCATGCAGGAGGTGACCAATCGATGTTCTCTCTTATCGGTTTCTATCTCTCTCTCTCTCCCTTCCTCTCTCTCTAAAATCAATAAAAAAAAAAAAGTTTCTTATAGCCAAGAAATTAATAATAATAATTAGTTTAAAAAAATGTTTTTTTCCTGATAACCTCATGTGTGCTTGGCCCTGAACAGGGTGGTTCTGGGCACACAGTTGCTAACCAAGACAGTGCCTGGCCCTGCCTTTATGACCCAGTGGGGGACACAGACATTAACTCTATAATCCTACAACCTGAGAAACGATGGGGGGATCCCTGAGGCTGTGGCAGGTTTTCCCACTCTCCTCCCCTCTCACTGCCCTCTTATCCCATCAGCCTGCTGTTCTTCCAACAACCACACCTGTTTCTGCCTCAGGGCCTTTGCACTTGCTGTTCCCTGTGCTGGAACACTCTTCCTCATATGACCACACAGATCATTCATGGTTCCAATGTCATTTCCCAAGAGGGGTCCTCCATGGCCACTCCCTTGTAAATCCGTGCCCCACTACTACCCCTCCAGCCATTCTTCTCTATCCCCTTTCTCAGTATTATTTTTCTTTAAATACTACCTTTCATGTCTTCCTGAGTCTTTTTTTTATCCTCACCCGAGGATATTTTTCCATTTTTTGTTCAGATAGAGTGGAAGGGAGGGAGGGGAGGAGGGAGGGAGGGAGGGAGGGAGGGAGGGAGAGAGAGAGAGAGAGAGAGAGAGAGAGAGAGAGAGAGAAAGAGAGAAACATCGACGTGAAAGGGACACATCGAGTGGCTGCCACCCATACGACCAACCAGGGCCGGGGACAAACTGCAACTGAGGTACGTGCCCTTAGCGGGAACCAAACTCAGGTCTCTCTGGACTGCAGGCCGACGCTCTAACTGCTGAGCCAAACCAGCCAGGGCCTTCCTGAATTTTTTTCAACTCTCTTTATTATTTTCCTCCCAGAAGAATGAATAGCAATGGATTCAAATCCTGTCTCTACCTACCTACCTGTGTGACTTTGAACCAGTTACTTAACCTTTCTGTGCCTCAGTCTCCTTATCTGTAAAATGGGTCTTATTATAATAGCTCTAACTCATAGAGCTATTAGGCAATTAGATGATCTAATGAATGATGTGTGCAAAGTGCTTACAACAGAGCTTGGCATATAGTAAGAGCAAGGTAAATCCTAGCTCTTTTTTTTTATCCTCACCCAAGGACATTTCTTTTTTATTTTATTTATCTTCAGATAGAGTGGGAGGGAGAGGGGGGGAAGAGAGAGAAACATCGATGCGAGAGAGACATATTGAGTGGTTGCCACCCACATGACCCCAACTGGGGCTGGGAACAAACTGCAACTGAGGTACGTGCCCTTAGCCGGAACCGAACCCGGGCCTCTCTGGTCTGCGGGCCGACGCTCTAACCGCTGAGCAAGACTGGCCAGGGCTAAATCCTAGCTCTTCATTTTTGTTGGTGGTGATGTTATTTATAATAGAGTAACATGACTGAAAATGCAAAGAATGCAGAAAAGATATATACAATAAAAGGGAAGGCTCCCTCCTGCCCTCTTGCACAGACAGTGCTGGCCAGAGGTTTTTTAATTTGTTGGTTGTTTGTGTTTTTTTTTTTAATCCTTATTTGAAGAAGGGACATTTGAACAGATGTGAGTGACATGGAGGAGATGCTTCTCCTGGCCACCGTTTTCTTCATCCGCAGCACTTATCACAATCATCATAAAGCAATTATTGGTGCAATTTCACGATTTTTGTATTAGAGGCTCCCAGACAGTGAGCTCGTGGCTGCGTGGCCTGCCTGGCACCCCGCGTGGGCCAGCTTGGATGGCCCTCCTTCTTTGGACGTTAACGAGTGAGTGACTTAGTAAGAGAATGAGCCCATCGGCTGCATCTGACTTCAAAACCAGAGCTCTGGATCCTGCCCCCCGCCCCGCCCCCTGGGTTAACCAGCTCCTCTTCACCCTCTCACCCTCCTGGGCTCCCTGGCTACCCCACGCCGCCAGAACCCCTCCGCCTGCTCGCTGCCCCAGGCCCCTCACCTTTCTGCACCTTGTCACACAACAGGTACAGCTCCTCGCCGCCTGTGCACGGCCCGCTCTCCTTGTTAATTCGGCAGATCCGCAGCTCGGATGTGTTTGTGGACTCTGGGAAGGAGCATGAGGAAGAGGTATATGAGGAAACAGGAATTCGGTCATCAAATCCTTATCAGGTAGCCCGTGGGTGCCCACCCTGGGCTGTGGAGAGGGGGGAAATTGAGAAGCCAGGGCACCTGACCCTCCTGGAACCCATGGTCCGGGTGGAAAAGAAGCCGCTCAGACGAGAGGGTTAGTGGACAGTCGCAAGTCCTTCATGCTGAGGTCCAGTGAGTGTCTGGGCAAAAGGGAGACCCTCAGAATTCAGGGAGAGTTGGCGGGGTCAGGCGTCAGAGACAGCTGTTAGGTGAGGGTTAATGGCCTGAAATCAGTAGTGGACACCTGTCGTTTTGACTGTCTACCAGTCCTGGCCCTTCTTCTGTTAACTGCCCCTCAATTTTCCTTGGAGGGACCATCCCACATCTCAGTCATGAGGATTGGGTAGGGCTGAGCCCCTCTCCCCAGCTTGGCAGTGGGCATGTGCCCTAGACCTGGCCAATCAGAATATTGCCTCCTCCTGGCCACAGCTGATTGGTTAGAGAGGAGAACATGACAAACACCAGGCCAATCAGAGACAGCCCTGAGACTTTGAGCAAAACTATTGGGGGAGGGGAGGTGCCAAGCTGGTAGGATATAAGCCTGGAACTACACAAAGTCATCTTGCCCCAACGTGGGAGGGCACTGCCAAGAATGACTAACATGGAGGAAGCATAGCTGAGAGAGGAAAGACACAGGCCCCTAATGACATCTCTAGGGACCCGGATATGGTCAGACCTGAAGCTACCTCTAGATTGTTTTTAGGTAACTGAACAAACACATTTTTATTTCTCCTTCGGCCAATTTGAGTTGGGATTCTATCACTTGCACCCATAAAAGCCCTGACTGAATTCATATCCTTCCCCATTTGATGCTCACGGCACTGTCGGCTGGCTAAACCCCCAGCTGTTCTCAATCCCCTCTTCCATGCCTGTACCCCTCTATAGAAGATGAAAACTTAACTGTTTTCTTTCCAAGACTCCCTTGCAACCATGGGACCAAGTCTGGCCAATAAAACTTAAGCAGAAATCTACCAGGGAGATTCTGGGGAATGTGTCTTTTCTCCATCACAGAGAGAACTATTGTCACTCAAGCTGCTACTTCCCTAGCATAGCCTAGCACAGTGGTACAGGTTATACCTTCCACAACACTAAAACACCCTGTATCCATACGTTACATAGGCTATGCTGACCCCTGCAACTGGGAAGTATACAGCTTGTTCACTTTACAGGGCAATACTGCCCATCATGCTTTGAATACAGACATGATGGCAGGAGCTATGGCAGCCAGCTCATGACCATGAGGGAAAAGCATAGAATCACAGAGCTGCTGAGCCAGTTCCCCAATACTGCTGAACAGCTGAATCCATAGGAACAGACTTCATAACGAGACATAGAAAAATAAAGACTTCCCTCCCGCCCAGCCGGTGTGGCTCAGTTGGCTGAGCATTGTCCCATGCACCAGGAGGTCGCTGTTGGATTCTGGTCACACATGTCTGCTGGGGTTGCTGGCTCAATCCCCAATAGGGGGTGTGCAGGAGGCAGTCGATCAAATCTATGTTTCTCTCTCATGGGTATTTCTATCTCTCTCTACCTCTCCCTTCCTCTCTCTGAAATCAATGAAAACATATTTAAATATAAATAAGTAAAATAAAGAACTCCCTGTTGGTTTGTGCCTTCGTATATGGGGCTTTTTGGTACCTGCGGCCAAGGACAATCCTACGACACAGCACCCTCTACTCACTCTTGTCATAGACGGGCTCAGAGAGCACTGGGTCCATCTGGCGCACCTGTCCCTGCTGGTCCCTGTAAGAGGCCTGGAAGCAGATCCTCACAACGTTCATGTCCACCTCCTGGTGGTTCTTCAGGGACCCAGCTGTGGAAGAGATGAGCGAAGGCTGAGGGTGGGGGTAGAGATCCCGGTGGGGAAGGGGTGACAGAGGAGGACTGGAGAAGATGGTGGGGTCCATGGACGGCAAGGGGATGGGAGCAGGCAGAGAGGCTCGGGGTTTGGACTCACCATTGTAGGGGTCGATTCCCAGCTGGATCTTCCGCTCTATGGCGGCCTCGATCTCCTTCTTCCTCACACACTGGATGCCCAGGTTGTTAAAGCTGCATGGGGGGAAGGGAGGTTGTCACGAGGGCGCAGGTGCAGCTCTGCCCACACACAGGAGGGCTCCAGCATATGCTACTTGCCTTGGTGCTCACAGTCTCAGGGGCTGAAGTACCCCAGGCCCAGAGGTCCCAGCCTTGGGGGGCGTCTGGGGTTCACACCCTCTAGGGATGTCAGGATTCTTGAGAGAACCTGGGAATGCCCCTTATTTTTACCACATGACAACACTGGCAAACCTCATTTATAAGAAAACTGCAATGGCCCTGGCTGGTTTGGCTCAGCGGTTGGAGCGTCAGCCCGCGGACCAGAGAGTCCTGGGTTTGGTTCCCACTAAAGGCACATACCTCGGTTGAGGTTTGTCCCTGGACCGGGTTGGGGTCGTGCAGGTGGCAACCAGTCAATGTGTCTCTCTCACATCGATGTTTCTCTCTCCCTCCTGTTCTATCTGAAGATAAATGCAAAAATGTCCTCCGGTGAGGATCAAAACCAAACCAAAAGAAAACTGCAAAGTCGCCTGGCCGGTGTGGCTCAGTGGTTGAGCGTTGACCCACGCACCAAGAGGTCGCCGGTTCGATTCCCGGTCAGGGCACATGCCCAGGTTGTGGGCCTGATCCCCAGTGGGGGGCATGCAGGAGGCAGCCATTCTCAATGTTCTCTCACATCCATATTTCTATCTCTCTCTCCCTCTCCCTTCCTCTCTCTCTAAAAACCAATAAAAAATATATATGTTTAAAAAAAAGAAAATTGCAACTGCAATGCCAATTTAAAAAAACTCATCCAAACAGCAAAGAGCAAAGCATGTGCTAATACCCGCTGCAGGTGAGGGTGTGGAGAAGCAGGCACCTCTCTCCTACTGCTGGTGGGGCTGGGAAGTCGCCAGGAGTTACACCTCGGAGGGTCTGGCCACACTCATGCATTCCACAAAAGTTTTCTGAGCACCTACTGTGTGCCAGGCATATGCGAGGCTCTGGAGGATATAGCAGGGAACAAAAGAGACAAAAATCCCTGCCCTTACTAAATGTATAGATCACCAAAAGTACACAGGTACACTTGGGGCCAGCAATTTCATTTCTAAGAATTTATCCTAGAGAAGAAATGATCTATACATCAAGCCATTCACGGCAGCTCAGTTCATCATAGAACCACAGGGGACTGAAACCATCGTAGATGCCCATTAATAGAGGACTGGCTCAAGTCACTGTGTGCTTCCACACACACACACACTGGAATACTATGCAGCCAGTAAAAAGGATAGGGGAGCTCTAAATGTTCTGATAGGAACGATCTCCAAGATGTACTGGAACACAAAAATGAGGTGCAAATGTTTGCTATTATTTATAAAGAGAGAGAAAAATATATCTACACAGAGCATATTTTTAATTGCCTCCAGGAAGGGGCACGGGTACCTGGAAGACCCAAGGAAGTAAATGTGTTTTGCACTGCACACCCTTTCTGAACCTTTTAATTTTTTTCATTATTAAAAACATAAATTAAGGGATATCTGTAATACTTTCAACAATAAAGATATATATATATTTTTAAACCATACAAATTATAAAGTGAGAGAAACAGCGGGCCTTGCAGTGAAGTCAGGTCTGGGGTCAGACCCCAGCTCTGCACTGGCTCTCTGTACCCCTGCAACCTCTCAGAGCCTCCGTTTCCTCCTCTACAATATGGGAATAAATGTACTGCATGTGAATGTGTGGGGCAGGGAGCCAGGTCTAGGGAAGACCCTCCATCATCGCCAGGCCTCAGTTTCCCCATCTAGGAAATGCAAGAGGGAGAAGCTGGCTAAGCTGTGCCTTGTCCCTGAATGATCCTCAGCCCCTCAGAATCTCTATAACCAAGAGCGAGGGGTCAGGGGTCAGGGCTGGGTACCTGTGCCGGGGGCTGACGTGAGGCCGGAGCCGCACCCTGCAGACGCCGTCGGTGCAGTCTTTCCCCACGAGGCTGTGGGGGTGCACTCGGTGAGGCCAGTCCTTCCACACCAGGCATGCGGTCACCTCCACCTCCCGCAGCCCTCCACAGTCCCGGAGCTGCAGGAAGACAGGTGCTCTTTTGGGGGTCCCATTGTAGATACCTGCACCCACGCAAACTCCCTGGGGCCTCCCTGGGAAGCTCCCCACCCCCCTCCCCCCAAGATGATGGAAGGGGATTTACTAAAGACCCCTCAAGATCCTAAACCTGAGACTTCCAACTGGCACCCCGGGGCCTCACAACATGACGGCTGCCCACAGAGGTCCACTCAGACTTTCAAACATTGGATGCATACCGGGTCTCCAAGTACTGCCATGGATGACATCCTTGTGACAAGGGGAGAAAGGCACCTTTACAGTGTCCACCACCTTATCCAGGTGATCAAGGTCAGTATCACTGATACTGAGCCCAAATGACTCGGGCACCCCGCCCCCCATGGCCGGGAAGGACAGACATTGTCACTGCCGTGACAGCCCCTCCGGAAGTGTGTCACCTGAATCTAATAGAGAGGAAGCACCAGACAAACCCAAATTGCAGGTCACCAGATAAAAAATGGCAGAGTCATAAATGATGATAAAAAGATGGGTGTCATAAAACAGTTGGGGAAATTTGAACATGGGCTGTTACTGAACCGTGTTAGGAGTTGTTATTTTTAGGTGTACTAATGAGATGAGGGTTATCATTAGAGATATATATAGGGGAAGTTTTGTGATATCTGAAATTTGCTTTAAAATACTCATAGAAAAGCTGAACTAGATTGGCAAGATGTTAATAACCGTCGACGCTGGGAGATGTGTACATAAGGGTTCATTCTAACAGCATATTTTTGTTATGTGGGAAAATTATCTAATATAAAGTCCTGAAATACCAAAAAAAAAAAGATGGGTGTCATATGTTGGATTAATGGAAAACAAATACACAATGTCTTCTGATCTGGCTGGTAGTTCCACAGTGTATACGTAGGTAAAGATTTATCAAACTGTGCTTAAGAGTTGATCCTAACATATATATTAAGATGAAATATAACAATATATAAAGTTAACATAAATTTAATAAAATATTAAACTTCAAATTCAAGGTTAATTTGACTGTTAATTGTCAATTTAATATTCTAATTATTAAATTAATATTTTCAGATAAACTGTAACTTAAATATAACTCAATTTTTTAAAAAGAAGAGACTAGCCCAGCCAGTGTGGCTCAGTGGTTGAGCATCGACCGGTGCACCAAGAGGTCACCGGTTGGATTCCCGGTCAGGACACATGCCCAGGTTGTGGGCCCGATCCCCAATGGGGGGCATGCAGGAGGTGGTCAATCCATGTTCTCTCTCATTGATGTTTCTATCTCTCTCTCTAAAATCAATAAACAAACAAACAAAAAAGGACAGAGACTAAAGAGACATGACCACCAAATGCAACATGTGCTCCTTGACTGGGTCCTGGATTGATGGGAAAGAAACACTATAAAGCACATTTGGGGCCCTGGCTGGTTTGGCTCAGCAGTTAGAGCATCAGCCTGCGGTCCGCAGAGACCCGGGTTCGGTTCCCGCTAAGGGCATGTACCTTGGCTGCAGTTTGTCCACAGCCCTGGCTGGGTCGTGCGGGTGGTGGTCACTCGATGTGTCCCTTTCACGTGGATGTTTCTCTCTCTCTTCCTCTCTCTCTCCCTCCCACTCTATCTGAATAAAAAAATGGAAAAATGTCCTCGGGTGAGGATAAAAAAAGAAAAGGACATTTGGGGACCAGTGGGCAATTTAAGTATGGACTCTGTTGGATGATATTATGGAATACTGCTAATTTTCCCAGGGGGACTAACAGCGTTGTAGCTGTGTAGGAGCTTATTCTTAGGAGATGCACTTTGAAGAAGATGCACTTTGAAGGCTGAAGGGTCTAAAAGTGACACCTTGATATCTACAACTCATTTGCAAATGATTCAGCAAAAAATCCACAATGTGTGTTTGTGTGTGTGGAGAGAGAGTGACAGGTACAGCAAATGTGGCAAAATGTCAACTGGTGCATGTAGGCGAAGGGCACTTAGTTGTTCACTGCCTATTCTTTTAATTTTTTGTAGATTAAAATGTTCCATCAAAACTCATCAAATGGATACATTAAATAAGTGCAACTTTTTATATCATTTATACCTCAATAAAACTTTAAAACTAGAGAAAATAAATAAATAAAATAACTAAACAAATAAAAACATTGGGAAACATTTGGAGCCTACATGTACATTGAAAAAAGTATGAGACATCACATTACTCCAGATTTCCAGATTCTCTTTGAAAAAAGGAAGTTACGCCCTGGCCAGTTTGGCTCAGCGGTTAGAGCGTCGGCCTGCGGTCTGGAGAGACCCGGGTTCGGTTCCCGCTAAGGGCACGTACTTCGGTTGCAGTTTGTCCCCGGCCCTGGTTGGTCGTGCGGGTGGCAGCCACTCGATGTGTCCCTTCACGTCGATGTTTCTGTCTGTCTCTCCCTTCCTCTCTCTCCCTCCCACTCTATCTGTACAAAAAAGTGGAAAAATATCCTCGGGTGAGGATAAAAAAAAAAAAAAAAAAAAAAAAAAAAAAAAAAAAAAAAAAAGCCCTGGCCAGTTTGGCTCAGCGGTTGAGCATCGGCCTGCGGACCAGAGAGTCCCAGGTTCAGTTCCTGCTAGGGGCATGTACCACAAAAAAAAAATAAATAAAAAAAAAAAGGAAAAGGAAGTTACGGCAAATGGGTCGAATCTCTGCTCAGCAGCCACAGGCAGCAGTGGTTAAAAACCAACCCTTTTAAACCAGGGCTCAGACCCCTGGGGCTTTGTTAGGTGTCCCCTGGGCCCTGCTCTGAACTTCTAAAGCTGGTGCTTGTAAAATACAGTAAACCCGTGAGGTTCCATGGGGTGATACTGCCCTCTAGTGGACATTTGGGATATTGGTGTGATTTTGGTTGACAGGGCTATGGGCACTCAGCCAGGAGTATATAGGACCTGGGATGCTACACAGCCTACAAACTAGGGACAGTCCTACACAAGTCCTGTAAGACTTCTGAACCTCCCACCACCATTTCATGTCAGTGAAACACCTGTTTAAAAGGGTCAGAGCCTGAACTTAACACTGTTTTAAATATATAGTATTCTCCCCATCATTTTAAAATACACCGAATTTCAAGTCACCAAGTCCACCAGGCTGGCTCAGGCTGCATGTGTGGCCACTGCATTAATTAGGTCAAAAGCAACTGCCACCTTTATTATTCTTCCCTGGCTGGGGCTGTGCCCGAGCATTTACATACTGAAATAAAATATGCTTATATATGCTACGCTATTTTCCTCTCATTTCTCCTTCATTCTAATGTTAGGGCATTATGGACTTGGGCATGATTACGGGTAGAGGTAGGTTATATTGTCAATACATTTCATTGAGTCAGAGAGGATTAAAACCATTCATTTAACCAGTTTCCTGCTGTAATATTAGATTCTGAAGAGATCAGGGTCAACAGTCTCAGGATTCATCTTTGAGATGTCACCCAAGATTGTGGATAAGGCATGAGGCCTTGGAGTAAGTCAGACCTGGTACCAAACAGGCTTGATCACTGGCTGTCTGCATGCTAACCCTCTCTGGCCTTACTGGCCTCAACGGTAAGATGGGTATCATTAAATACCTGGCACACAGGAGCACTTAGTGCACGTCAATAATTACTAGAGTAAACTTGCTGTGTGCCCCTGAGCAAGTAACTCACCCTCTCTGAGCCTCAGTTTCCTGTTCTTATAGATGGGGATAAAATTCCCGAGTCCAGAGTCAGAAACAGGTCATCCCCTACTGTTGGACATTTACTGTTCAAATTCTCCAAAATCAAAACCAACACCGAGCCCAAAAGAAACAAAAAATTGGGGAAAATACAGCCTACAAGTATCGCCCACAGGTAACTTATAATCACAAAGGGAAAGCTGCATCTTTACAAAGGAGAGACCTGATGGTCACGACCTGTGATGGGCTGACTTGTGTCCCCCACCAAATTCATATTTAAATCCCCACCCTCAACCCCTCGTCCCTCAGAATGTGACTATATTTGGAGATGAGGCCTTTAAAGAGGTAAGTTAAAGAGGCCATCAGAATAGGACCTGATCCAATCTACCTGGTCTCCTTATAAGAAGACCGAGTGGCTCAGTTGGTTGGTGCATCATCCCATGCACCAAAAAAGGTTGTGGGTTTGATTCCTGGTTGGGGTGCATATGGAAGCAACCGATCAATGTTTCTCTCTCACATAGATGTTTTTCTCACTCTCCCTTCCTCTCTCTCTACAAACAATAAAAATACATACTTGGGTAAAGATTAAAAAAAAATAGTAATAGTCCAGCCAGTGTGGCTCAGTGGTTGAGCGTTAATCAATGCACCAAGAGGTCACCAGTTCGATTCCCAGTCAGGGCACATGCCCAGGTTGTGGGCCTGATCCCCAGTGGGGGGCATGCAGGAGGCGGCCAATCGGTGTTCTCTCTCATCAATGTTTCTATATCTCTTTCCCTCTCACTTCCTCTCTAAAATCAATAAAGGGAAAAAAATTTTTGAAAAAGAATATTAAGTTTCTAGAGTGTGCTAACAGTGTTGTAGTTCTACAGGTCCTGTGTTACTATTTTAAAGTAAATAAGTAAGTAAATAAATAAATAAATATTTTAAAATTAATTTTGGAGACAATGACTTGTTGTTCCACTCATTCATGCATTCGCTGGTTGATTCCTATATGTGCCCTGACTGGGGATTGAACTCACAACCTTGGTATATTGGGATGATGCTCTAACCAACAGAGCTACCCAGCCAGGGCTGGAGCCTCTTTTCTAGTCACCCCAAAGGTTTCTACCCTCATGATCTAATCACCCCAAAGGCCCCACCTCCTAATACCATCACCTTAGAGGTTAGGATTGCAATATATGGATTTGGGGGACATAAACATGCAGACCATAGCAAGACTTGATCAATGCAACACGCGATTCTAGACTGGTTATGAAACAAGCAAACAAGACAGGAGCTATTCAGAATATTTTGGGAGCAACTTGGATAATTAGAATATGGACTTATAATTAGATAATATTATTAGATAATATCCTTGTATGAATATTAAGTTTCTAGTCTGGCCGGTGTGGCTCAGTGGTTGACCGTCGACCCATGCACCAAGAGGTCACCAGTTCGATTCCTGGTCAGGGCACGTGCCCAGGTTGTGGGCCCAATCCCCCGTGGGGGGCATGCAGAAGGCAGCCAATCGATGTTCTCTCTCATCGATGTTTCTATCTCTCCCTCTCCATTCTCCCCCCTCTCTCTAATATCAATAAAGAAAAAAATAAATATTAAAAAATATTAAGTTTCTAGTGTGCTGATAGTGTTGTAGTTCTATAGGTCCTGTGTTGTAGGAAAATATTATATTCTTGAGAGATACACACCAAAACATTTGGGGTGAAGTACTGTCATGTCTCTGACTCACTTTCAAATCTCCCTGTATAAATGTCTGTACCTGGCCGGTTAGCTCAGTTGGTTAGAGCATCGTCCCAATATGCCAAAGTTGAGGGTTTGATCCCCGGTCAGGGCACAAACAAGAATCAACCAATGAATACATAAATAAATAGAACAACAGACTGATGTTTCTTTCTCTCTCTCTCTCTCTCTCTCTCTCTCTCTCCCCCTTCCTTTTTCCTTCTAAAATTAATACATTTTTTAAAATGTATGAATGTCTATATAAAGAGAGAAACATAAAACAAATGTGACAAAAGGCAGATGGGTGTTCGTTGTGCTATTCTTGTCTATTTTATGTAGGTTTAAATGTTTCAAAAGAAAAAGTTGAGACAGAAAGTTGAAAAGAAATCCCCTATCAATTAGAAAAACAGACACAATGCTCCAAGGTAAGGGGCTATGGTTGCCCCTCCATGCCCCACACTTACCCCCTTCCTGAAAATGCAGTGACTGAGAATATGTATTTCAAAGGAAATCATTCTTTTAACCAGAATGTCTGGCTGACTACAGGCTGCTTTTGGCCACAATGCCTGAAGCCAAATCAAACAACAACTATGGCCATCAAGTTGTGTAAAGGGGGCAGTGCGCCAGGGTCCTCATAGCATCAGTGGGCAGGAGTTTCATCTCCATTTCGCAGATGAGGAAACCAAGGCCAAGAAAAGCACTGGGCTTGTCCCAATTCACACAGCTGGTAAGTGGCGGAGCCAGGACTCAAACCCCAGTCTTTCTGACCCTACAATCCCAACTTACGGGGAAGGACAGGGTTGCTCTGCTCATCACCCAAATACAGCCATGAGTACAAACCCCACTGAGGAAGAGGGAGAAGGACAGAGAGGCAGGAGACCTCACCCGAGGGAGCTCGAGCCTGGTGGCGTGGCAGAATCAGGGAAGGTGTTCCTGAGGTGGGCTGTGGCCTCTTGGGTGAGTAGGAGGTGACCAGATTGCACGAGGAAAGCACTCCAGGTAGAAGGAAGGTGGCACGTGAAGAGGAGATGGGTGGGAATGGACCAGACAATGAGAGGTCTTGGAGGCCCAGGAAGGGGCTTGGGCTTCCTCAGGGGCACACTAGGGAGCCAAGGGAGGGTTCTGAGCAGGACAGAGGAGCAGATATGCGATTGAACAGGACTCCTCTGGCTGCCTTGCAGGGGGTGAAGTTTGGAGGAGACTGACAGCTGGTGACTGGGAAAGATGCTGGAGGTCAGTGAGAAGCTGGGGCTGGGACCTGGGGCTAGTGGAAAGGTTAGTATACAATTAAGATTCAATAAACATTTGGGCCTGACTGGTGTGGCTCAGTGGTTGAGTGTTGACTCATGCACCAAGAGGTCGCCAGTTCGATTCCTTGTCAGGGCACATGCCCAGGTTGTGGGCCCAGTTCCTGGTGTGGGCATGCAGGAGGCAACCAATCGATGTTCTCTCTCATCAATGTTTCTTTCTTTCTTTCTTTCTTTCTTTCTTTCTTTCTTTCTTTCTTTCTTTCTTTCTTTCTTTTTTAATTTATTTATTTTTTATTAATTAATTTTTGTTACAGATGTTTCTCTCATCGATATTTCTATCTCTCTCTCCCTCTCCCTTCCTCTCTCTAAAAGCAATAAAGAAAAATAAATAAACAAACAAACAAACATTTGGGCAAAGATCCAGGAGCATGCCCTGGCCGGTTTGGCTCAGTGGTTGGAACATCAGACTGTGGACCAGAGAGTCCTGAGTTCAGTTCCCGCTAGGGGCACCCCCCCAAAAAAAAAAAGATTTAGGAGCACATGAAGACTCCGTACTGGGGAAGAGCAAGGAACCAGGCCTCAGACACCACCGGGAAAAACAGTCATGGATACAACCCCCAGGGAGGACAATTGGGCAATAGCCATCAAATTACCTTTGACCAGCAATTGCACTCCCTGAAGTTATTTGAGTGACACAAATGAGGGAAATAATAGATTAACTGTGTCCTTCTCTATAGCCCTGATTATAATAAATAGTGGGAGACTGGAAACAACCTAAATGCCCACCAATAGGAGGCTGAACAAGAAATGACCACACATTCACACAGGGGATACCATGGAAGAGAGAAAAAGGCAACTTTACACATGCCAATGTGAGCTCAGCTCTAAGATATATCTATATCTATATCTGTAGCTATCTTTTTTTTTTTTTAATCCTCACCCGAGGACATTTTTCCATTTTTTGCACAGATAGAGTGGGAGAGAGAGAGAGGAAGAGAGAGAGAGAGGAAAACATTGATGTGAAAGGGACACATCGAGTGGCTGCCACCCACACGACCAACCAGGGCCGAGGACAAACTGCAACCGAGGTACATGCCCTTAGCGGGAACCGAACCCGGGTCTCTCCGGACCACAGGTGGATGCTCTAACCGCTGAGCCAAACCGGCCAGGGCTCTTTTTTTTTTAAATCTTCACCTGAGGATATTTTTCAAATATCTTCAGATAGAGTGAAAAGGGGAGAGAAAACGAGAGAGAGAAACATCGACGTGAGAGAGACACATTGACTGGTTGCCTCCCGCACGACCCCGACCAGGGCTGGGGACAAACTGCAACTGAAGTACATGCTCTTGACCAGAATTGAACCCAGGACACATTGGTCTGTGGGCCGACGTTCTAACCACTGAGCAACTGACCAGGACTGTATCTATCTATATTTATACCCATATATATTTTTTTTATCCTCACCCAAGGATATATTTATTCATTTTTAGAGAGAGAGAAAGGGGAAGAGAGAGAGGGACAGAGAGACGAGAGAAACATTCATGTGAGAGAGAAACATTGATCAGCTGTCTCCTTCATGCCCCCTACCAGGGATCAAGCCCAGGCATGTGCTCTGAGTGGGAATCAAACCGGCAACATAACTGACACCTTTCAGTGCACAGGACAATGCCCAGCCAACTGAGTCTCACCAGCCAGAGCTATACTCTCAAGTAAAAACAAAGCGCAGCACGGAACAGTATACGTATACAGATGCTCCTCGACTTTCAATGGGGTTACACCCCGACACACGTCCCAGTGTAAGCTGAAAATATCGTTAGGTCAAAAACGCATTTCATACACCTACCCTACGGAACATCACGGCTTTGGCTGGCCGACCTTAAATGTGCTCAGAACACTTACATGAGCCTACAGCTGGGCAAAAATCATCTAACACAAAGCCTATTTTGTAATAAAGTGTGGAATATCTCATGCAATTTACTATGCATATAATAAATTTCACCCCATCACAAAGTCAAAATATCGTAAGTCGAAATATCTGGTAAGTCTGGGACCATCTGTATGTCTATGCTATGCTCCCCTCTATGTACAAAAAGGGGGGTGGTATATATATGTATGTATATATTTACCTGTACAACCATAAAATACTTCTGGAAGGACACAGGAGATACTGATAACAATGGTTCCCTCTAGGGGGAAAACCAGCCCGCAGCTTCTGGTGGCCTTTTGTTCATTTTAACTTAATTTAATTTAAATTCTGTTAATATAAATCATGATATTTTTGAACATTTTGAACCACATCATATGACTCAAATATTTGAAACAAAATATTCACACAGTTTTAAAAAATGTACACAGTTTTAAAAAATCTTACCTGCACCTTATCCATTGAGCACTGCTGCCCAAAAGTAATTATGTCTATTAATTTTTTTTCCTCCCACTGTTTCTTTAGGCACATACTCGCAAATACAAATATAAAATCTTATTTTTCCCTCTTTTAACACAAAAGGTAGTATAATAGCCTAGACAGTTTTCTGCGCCTTCATTTTGGGGGAGAGGTTATTAATATGTCTTGGAGGTACTTCCACATCAGTACCTAAGGGAGTCTTCATTTAAGATTTCTTCCGTATTCACTGGAGGTCTTTATATTTATCTGCGCACATATACACATATGTGGTACACCTCCATGAAGTTCTGATGTGGAGATGTTTATGGATGCATTTACCAGTCCCTGGCTGAAAGCATCGAAGCGTCCAATTCTCATGCGAACAAGGCTGCAGTGGATAACCTTGTCCATCCCTCTGGGCACCCAGATGCAGACAGAGCTACACAATGAATTCCTGAGAGCGGAGTGGCCAGGCCTAAGTACAATGATGACGATAATACAGTACTACTAGCAGCTCAACTCTATTGAGCCCTTGCCAGCTGGAGGGAACTCATTCTCTCCCCCTAACAACCCCAGCTGGTTGGTTACTATTACGATCTCATTTTGTAGAGGAGGAAACTGAGACACAGAGGGGCTGAGTAACCTGCCCAAGGCTGCACAGCCAGCAAATGGCTGAAGAGGGATTCCAACCCAGGCACTCTGGTGCTTGGGACCTGGTGTGTGAACCAGGAGGGTACCCTGCCTTTGTAGCAACGATCATCTGGATCAACCCAGCCGAAACGTCGGGGAGAAGGCCTTTCTCTGAGTGCCCTTTTGAATTTGGGGTCAGGTGACAGTTATCACCGGCTCCAGCAACAGCAACAGCAATAATAATAACCACCACTATCGAATACGGGAAAGCAAGACATGCATGTGAATGTGGGGGCGGGGAAGCGCGAGCGCCCCAGCCCCGGGCCGCACCTCGATGGCGGGCAGCGTCTTGCTGGCCTCCGTGCTGCTCTCCCCGAGGATGCTGCCGGCCGAGCGGCCCTCGCACTCGTAGCGGAAGCGCATCCCGCGCTGCTTGGGCTGCTCGATGATGACCAGGTGCGGCCGCGGCCCGGCGCCCGGCGCCGGCGGCCCGAGCCGGCCCAGGGCGCAGCCCCAGGGCGGCGGCGTGGCGGGGGGCGCGGCGGGACCCAGGGTGACGGTGCTCAGGGAGGCCGTCCCGCGAGACACCAGGCGCGTCAGCCCCTCTCCCGGGCCCGGCGGTGCCACCTCCAGGCCGAAGCCGTTCTCCTTGATGTACTCATCGATGATCTCTGCGGGAGAAGCAAAAACCGGGGTGACGCCGGTTGGAAAAGAAAAGGCTTGATGACCCCCAGACCCGGGCCTCTCCCGCCTTTTCCAATCCATTCATTTCTTCTAGACGGTTCTGTGTGCGCCGAATGCGGAGGCCTCAGCGCCAAAACACACCAAAGACCCTGCCCTTCTTCCCGCTAATAGCCACCAGCAGCCCCTCCAGCTGTTCTTGAAGACAGAAAGGGGGGGAGCTGGTTTCTTCTTCCCCTGCACCCTCAGGTCCACTGCCCTCGGTAAGAGCACCACCACCCACCAAGTGCTCAACCTTGGCGGGCGCACATCTATCTGTATTAGTTGCTCATGATCCCACACCTGCAAGTCCCATCCATGAACTTCTGCCTCTACCTCAATTTTCTCCACCCCGGTGGTCCATCCTCCATGTGTCCCATCGGAACCTCCACTCCTGTTCCCCCCCCCCACACAGCCAGAGAGATCTTATGTCAGACCCTGTTCCCCCGTATGTCAGAAGCCTCCAGTGGCTTCCATCACCTTTAGAGTAAAAGTCAACACCTTCCCCATATAAAACCCTCTCCAAACTGAATTCATCTCAGAAAAAAAAACGAAACAAAAACAAAACTCCACACTCCTTGTGCTGGCACAGAGCCTTGCTGTGGACCGGCCCCTGCTGTCCTGGGCCCTCTTACCCTGATCCAGTCTTTCTTTCTGTTGCTTGCACCCACCGGGCCTGGCCCTCTTCTGGGCAGTGGACTTGCTCCCCCATCTGCCTACTCCACACTCCCCCCTATTCGCCCTATTCGACCCGTACTGGCTCCTCATCCTCTGGTCTTGGCTCAAATGCCACCTCTTCAGAAAGACCCCATCTGAGGTCTTCCTCAGGCCATCTCTCCCTCTACCTGTTTATTTTCGTCACAGCCCTTAGCCCAGCCTAACCTTCTCTTGTTCATTTATTCCTTTTCCTACTGTCTCCCCCACTAGAGTGTGAGCTTCAGAAGGGCACTTTGGTCCATGACTGAATCCCCAGTGCCTAGAACAGCCTGGCACGTGGCAGGTGCTCAGTATAACTCACTGAAGGAATGAATAATAGTAGTGACCCTAAAGGTAGTTGACATATACAGTCTTTGCTAAGTGTCACAAACTGCTAATACCTTGGAAACATGACCGTTAAAATCCCCCAACAGTCCCAGAAGTCACATCGTGACCCTCCCCTCAACACCCCAACAAAGACCAAGCTCCCTGTCTGTGAGCACTTGGGACTCCACAGCCTCCCCCAAACTTGCCCTGTGATACTCACCCAATTCATCTGTGGAAGGAAGAGAAAGAGAAAAAGTAAGGTCCAGTTAAGTGGTCAAAACTTTCATTTTTAAGACAGATTTCCCAACCCCATCCTCTCCTGGTACCCTTCCCCTCCCCACATCCTGGGAAACTGGGCTCTGACTCCCAGGGGTGCTAAACCCCAACCCCTGTCTCCCCCTCCTGGGCTACCTTCCATTTAGCTCCCAAAGTTGCGGTCCCAGGGTCAGGGTTCCCTCAAATGCCTCCCAAAAATCATTTAGGCCAGGGATTATAAAGTATTGTTGGGAATTTGAGGAAAAGCCACGGGTCTTATTACCAGAGGGAAATGGACACCCAAGATTCTAAACAAAGTGTGGGGGTGCTCCTTCCCTACAGCCCACCCTAGACCTGCAGAGGTCACTGGCTGGTGTCTGAAGGTCCCAGGAGGCCGATTCTCCTCCTCCAGGTAGCTGCCCACTCTGCACTGTAGGCCAGGCCCCCAGCAGTGCCCACGCGCCATCCTGGATTCGCCCCCACCTCCTGAGGGAGGAGTGACAGTAATGCTGGGGAACCCTATCACCACCCCAGGAAAGCTCAGCCCTGGAAGGGGCCATGAAGAAACAGAAACTAACCTCCCTTTATTCCACAGACAGGACAAGGGGAACCCCAAAGGGAGCAAGTGAGCCTAGAGTCACACAGCAAGCGAGGGCAGGCTGGGGCCTGACACCCCACCCAGGGTTGCCTGCGCTGGCCACTGACCTCGGACACTGACCAGCCCCCGTGCCAGACCTGTCCTCCTCCTCCACTCTTGGGGAGTGGCTCCTGGCAGCCAGACCTTTGCTCCTTGGAAAGCAGTATTCCTGCACCTCTTATCTTATTCAATCTATGAAGTCAGCAGGGTGGGGAAGATACCCTCACTTGACAGATGGGGGCATTGAGGCTGGGAGAGAAAAGGGACATGCTGTAGATCACTGGCAGGACAACCTCAAGTTACTTGAACTTGGAAAAACCTTAGGCATCTGTGCTGAATGACCTGGGGACCCAAAGATGAGTCAGACTTTGTCTGGGCCCTCAAGGAACTCTTAGGCTGCAGGGGGAAACTGAGGCCCTGGGCAACAATGGTGAGAGCTTTGGACTGCCTCAGTTCAAATTCTGGCTCTGCTACTTGCTAGCTGTGGGGCCTTGAGCCCATTACTTAATCTGTTTGTGCCTTGGTTTCCTCATATGCAAAATGGACACAATAATGCCTGCCTCATTGAGCCGTTGTGAAAATTAAATGAGCTAATCCTCTCTGGGAAGCACTTAGAACTGCCACAATAGCAGGTGGTATAAAAATGCTGGCTGCTATTGAACAAGATGTTGGGAGACACTGTTTTATAGACTGGGTAAACCACTTCCCATCTCTAGGCCTCAGTTGGTATGTCTATAAAATGGGGATGTTGGAAGACATGGTTTCAGAGGATGGAGCGTGGAGTCACACAGATGCTGTGTGGCCTGGGGCAAGTGGCTTAACTTGTCTGAGTCTCTTCTCTATAAAATGAGGTCTGGCCCTGGCTGGTTTGGCTCAGTGGTTAGAGCATTGGCCTGCGGTCCAGAGAGACCCGGGTTCGGTTCCTGCTAAGGGCGCGTGCCTCGGTTGCAGTTTGTCCCCGGCCCTGGTTGGGTTGTGTGGGTGGCAGCCACTCGATGTGTCCCTTTCACTTCGATGTTTTTTTTTCTCTCTCTCTCTCTCCCTCCCACTCTAGCTGAACAAAAAATGGAAAAATGTCCTCAGGTGAGGATAAAAAAAAAATTATAAAATGAGGTCTGAGCTCCTATATCTGGCATTAATGTGAGCATTCAGGATCACACAGGGAAATTGCTTAGCACTGGATCTGACCACTTTAGGCCCTCCATAAAGCTTAGCTAATATTATTGTTATCTAAAATCCCTTTTCAGACAGGAAATACTGGGAACTTCCTCCCCTTATTCAGGGCTCAGCTAAAATAACACCCCATACCACCCCCAAGCTCCCATACAGACTTGCTGTCATCCAGGGACAGCCACAATGGGCCATGCTTGAGCAGATCTGAGAGCAGAAAGCCAGCTCTGTCTTTCTTGCCCCAGGGCCTTTGCACAGGCTAGTCTGTGCCATAATGTTCTTCCTCCAATTCTTTGCATGGCCTCCTCCTCTTCTTTCAAATCCCTGCCCAAATGTCATGTCCTAGATAGGTCTCCCCTGACCACTGTATCCAAGATAGTCCCCAGAACCCTCACTATAGTCACTTACAGTTAAGTGTCTTAGCTTTATCATTTACATGGAACTATTAGAATCTGACATAATCTTATGTTACAGTGATTCATATCTGTCTGCTGGAGACTCTGAGCACCACAGAGTAAGGAACATGTCTGCCCCATCCCCACTGTATATCCAGCCTTTATCACACTTAATAATTCCATGGTTAATTTATTGTTTACATGTCTGTCTCTACATCTAGATAGGGAATCCCATGAGGGGAGGGCCAAGGCTGTTTCAGTCACTTCTGAGTTCCCAGCACTGTCTAGCACAGAGCCAGGTACAGAACAGGAACTCAATAAATAGTCATTGGATAAATGACGTCAGAACTTATTCTCAAATGAAACCAAAGATTTAGGTTTCAGGACACAAAAGTCTTAGCTTTGTTCCTGCCCAGAACCAGTTTTTGTGCAGTACCTGTTCCCAATGCCATCTCTAGTCATTCACTACCACCCAAACTCACAGGTCTGTTAGAGAACCGGCAAAGCCTCCTCCACAGCCAGGCCAGCACTCCTGGTATCCATCCCAAGACTACCTCCAGAGAGAGATTCAGACCCAGCCACACCCCCTGGGACTGGGGAGGGGGAAGGCACTGAGTTTCCATGGTGACAGGACTCATCCCTGCCCCCCAAGTCTCAGCATATTAATGAGAGGATGTTTCATTTGGCTATGATTCTGCATTTCCTTGAGCAACACTGAATTTTGGATGGCACGAGCTGAGGGACCTCATAGACTAGTGATTCTTAGCATCTCTTGGGAACTTATTTAAACTCTCAGAACCCATCCTAAACCTACTGAATGAGAAACTCTGGAGGTGGGGCCCAACAATCTGTTTTAACAAGCTCTCTGGGTGACTCTGATACACATTAGTTTTAAGAACCACTTTTATAGACTGTCTAATAATAACAATAATAATAATTGTTATTATTATTACACCACTAACAGTTAACACGTATTGAGCCTTTACTGTATGCCAGTAACTGCTTTAAAAGTTCACCTGCATCAGCTCATTGAATCCTGTCAATCGGGGGAGGCACGGATATTATGCCCATATTACAGATGAGGAACACCGAGGCCCAGAAAGGGGAAGTGACTTGCAGGCATTTGCAGTTAGGGGTGGGCATCACCAACATGTAAATCCCAGTCCTAAAGCCCAAGTGTGATTATTACCCTCTGCACTACCATGTGGATCTCTACAGAGGACTCCTCTTAGAGTGTGAATAGGTGCTTAGTTTACCTGTCCAGCTCCTAATCACCTGGGAGGTAGAGGAATCTGGAACCCCAATCTAGACGAGCAGGGAGGGACACCGTCAAGGAAAACTGTGGTGGACCTCGGCGAAACCCCCAAAGGTGTGCCCAATGGATTCCCCCCTCCCCTGTCCTGAGTGTGCAGGTGGGCAGGAACTGCGGAGGGCTGCTCACCCGTGGTCCTGGAAACGGCCAGCGAGAGCGAGGAGAGGTCCGGGGACCCTGCAGGGAGGGAGGCAAGTCTCAGGTGGTGATGGAGATCCCACAGAATCTGTCAAGCCTCACCTTCCTCCTCTCCTGGCCCGCCCCTTCCTCACCCTTAGCGCAGGCTGGCCCTGTCTCCTTCCCTAAGTCGGGAACAGGTTCCTTAGTTTCTGTCACTCACCCCACCCTTTCATCACACTCAGCCCCCCTTTCTCTTCCTTAAGGTGGGGACTGCAGGAGTCCTTCTCCACCGCTGTGAGGAAAGCCACCGCGCTCTTCCTTCTCTCGGGGTCAGACCCTGACCCTTCACTTTTTGACTGTCAAGCCGGCTCCCTTCTCCCTTCTCAGACCCTGCCACTACTCTCAGGGGCAAGCACCCCGACTCTTTCTTCTCTGAGTCAGGCCCATCCCTTCTTTCCAAACAGGTCTCCCTTCTTCTCACCACCAGAGCCAGGCCTCTTTCTTCGCCCCCTCCGAGTCTGCCCTCGTCCCCTCCCCCCCGCCCCTCGGCCCTGCCCCTTACTCGAGGTAGAACCCTGCTTCCTTCTTTAAGTGAGGCCCGCCCCCTCTGTGAGCCAGGCCCCTCCTTTCATGCCCTCTCTGAGTCTGGCCCAGTACCCATCTGGCCCATATTGAATCTAGCCCCGCCCCCCCTTCAGGAGCAGGTCCCGCTCTTCCTTCTCCAAGTCAGGCCCCGCCCCTCCCTTTTGGCGTTGGGTCCCGCCCCCTTCTTTGCCTCAGGGTCAGGCCCCGCCCCCTCCTCACTCTGTAGTGGGACGCCTCTCTCTTACCTTGGGCCAGACCCTGTCACCATCCTCTGCCTCCTTCCTTCCCTCTAATATAGTGTCCCCCGAGCCCTCACACTCTCCCTACAAAACCCCTAGACTCCTGTAGGAACCCTCAGAACCCTCGCATCACCGATCCCACCCCAGGCTCCACTCCTGAACCCCGGCCCCGCTTACCCAAGGCCCCCAGCTCCGGCGTAGCGGACGGTCTAGCTACGCGGCGACTCGGCATGGCCCGACCAGTGGGGACGGACGGCCCGGAGGCCGGCCCAGACTAAAACACGCGGGGCAGGCCGGGCGGCCAGGCAGCACGGTCCGGCGGGCGATCGCGGGTCGGGCGAGCAGCGCAAGGCTTGGGGCCGCAGGCCGGGCAGGACGCGCGGCGCCCGGGGCTGCGGGGGGCGGCGGGCCGGGCCGAGCGAGCGGCGGGAGGGGGCGGGGCGGCGGAATTCCCCGGCGCTGCCGGCCTGGGCGCCCATTGGCTCTCACCCCGTCGTGACGTCACGCAAGGGGAACGGGAAAACCCCCACGCGTCACGTGGTCTCGGGGGCGGGGCCGGCCGGGAAGAGGAGGTTGGGCGCTTGGGAGGGGCCGGCGCTGCTGGCGGAGCCAACTGAGGCCTGCTTAGAGCCATTCACGCTCTACCTATGGAGCAAGTGGGGAAACTGAGGCCCGCCTCTCCACCCCAGGTCTGCCAGCAGAACTTGAACCTGTTGTTTTTCTGGCTGGAAGGGAAGCCTTGGGATCAAGAGGTTGCCAGAACTCTACAGCTGTCAATGATAACCATCTTTAGGAAACCATGTTTTCTCTATGCCTCCTTTTCTGTAAATTGGGATTGGAGATACGTACACGTTTAAAGCTAGAATGTCAGTTCTAGGATGTACATGTTTTGTTCTTTGCTGTATCCCTAGCACCAGAAACATTGCCTGGAACACAGTAGGTACCCCATGAATGCTTATTGAATGTTGAATGGATAGGTATTTCACTCCTCCCCACAGCCCCATCAAGTTTCCTGATAGCCCAGAGAACTCACAGCTCCAAGCCTCAGTAACTCAGTCTGGGAATGATGAGTGTAGCCCATGTACATTCTGAGCTGTGTGCCTGACTCTTGAGAGAAGTGCTCACCTGGGGGCTTCATAGTTCACACTAGCATCAGAGGCATGTAATAGAATTAGGATTCTTGCAGAGAGGAGACTGAGGCTCAAGGAGGGATAGTCGTTTGGTTTAATCATAGTGCCTAAGCCTCCCATCCTTCAGAATGACTGGGTGATCAGTAGATTCCCACTTCGATGCCAGGTATCCTGACCAGAGTGCAATCATCTGTTTATGTAAAATTTGAGTGCTCCTCTTAATCTCCATGGCCCACAACTCATTGTTTCATCATCATCATTATTATTTTGACATTTTGTTCAGATAGAGTGGGAGGGAGAGAAACAATGACGTGAAAGGAACACATCGAGTGGTTGCCATCCACACGACGACCCAACCAGGGCCGGGGACAAACTGCAACCGAGGTACATGCCCTTAGCGGGAACCGAACCTGGGTCTCTCCAGACCGCAGGGCAACACTCTAACCGCTGAGCCAAAGCAGCCAGGGCCATTGTTTCATTATTAAACATAGTTATTGAGCACCTGCTGTGTGTCAGAGGCTGCACTGGGCATTGGGATACAGCACTCACCAAGCCAGGCCTGGTACCTGCTCCTGAGAGGCAGCAGCAGTTCTCAAAGTGTGGCCCCTAGCCCTTTATGCTCAAGTGGAGCACTACTACTAGACAGCAAAATATTGAAGAAACTTTTTAAAAACTGCAAAGGGCTTGCCCTGGCTGGTGTGGGTCAGTGGTTAGAGTGTTGGCCCTCCCACAGATGGGTCATGGGCATGTACCTGGGTTACAAGTTCCATCCCAGGCCCAGTTGGGGTGCTTGCGGGAGGCAACCAATCAATGCATCTCTCTCACGTCGATGTTTTTCTCTCTCCCCTCTTTCCCTTCCACTCTCTGTAAAAAAAAACAAAAAAAAAAACAAAAAACCCAATGGAAAAGATATTCTTAGGTGAGGATTAACAAAAACTGCAGAGGGCCAGATAGCAAATATGCTTTAGGCTCTGAGGGACTGACAGGTCTCGGTGCTCAACTCTACCATAGCACAAAAGCAGTAGACAGTACAGAAACAATGAGTGTGGCTGTGTTCCAGTAAAACATATGGACATTGAAATTTGAATTTTGTATAACTTTCATGTGAAACAAAATCTTCTTCTTGAACTTTTTTAACCATTAAAAAAAATTTTAATTACACAAAAGGCTGGATTTGGCTTGCAAGCTGTAGTCTGCCTACAACAAGGTCATTGCAAGAGAGGTTAGACTGAGGGGCCAGAATCAGAGTGCCTGGGTTCAAGTCCTGGGTCTCCCACCTACTAGATGCATGACCTTGGACAACTGACTTCATCACTTTGAGCTTGATCTGTAAAATGGGTCTAATAATAGGATGGTTGTGAGGGTTATGTAAGATAGCCATGGCTGGGTAGTTCAATTGGTTAAGGTATCATTTTGATTCACCAAGGCTGTGGGTTTGAACCCCAGAGCACATACAAGAATCAACCAATTAATGCATAAATAAGTGGAACAAAAAAATCTATGCCTCTCTCTCTCAAATCAATCAATAAAAATGATACTAATAGTAGTCAGCATTTGTACACAGCTCTTAAATGTGCTAGGCACTGTTCTAAGCACTTTGTGTTCTGAGACCCTGACAAATTCCTTAATTTCTCTGGGTTTTCTCATTTGCTCTTGTGAACATTTGACTTACAGTTATTACACACAGTGTAATGGTGCCAGGCACTGTTCCAAAAGCTGGGGACACAGCAAGAAACATCAAAGACAAAAGCCCCTCCCATCATGGCACTGAAATCCAAAAGCGGAAGACAGATGGAAAATAGTTAAGCAAATAACAATGTCTGGTGGTGATGATGGTCTGACAGAATAAATCAGGATATATGGATTGAGTTCGGAGGTACTATTTAGGTTAAGAAATGGAGGGAGGGTCTGGGATGACATCTGGGTAAAGAGCTAAAACAGTAAAGGATCCATGTGGATATCAAGGGAAGAGTATTCAAGGCACAGGGAACAGCAAGTGCAAAGGCCCTGAGGTGGGAACATGCATGGCACATTCAGGAATAGCAAGGAGACTGGAGTGGAGACTACTGAATAAGTAGTGGAGATGAGGGTGTAACAATGGTCTGTAAGGTGATGGGGACATCAATATTAAACTTAATAAAATAAACCACATATAGCTTAGACTAGAGCTTGGCTCATAAGGAGTGTGTAGAGGCTCCTATTATAGGGTCAGGAGCCCATCTGATTAGCCTGCTGAGGAGCCTGGTCTTCCAACTAGGACACTGGGAGCAATGGAATGATGTAGAGCATGAAAGGAAGTGGAGCGGGCCGTGGCTGCCTGAGGGGTGGAAAATTCTGCGGTACATGTGCGTGCACACACATGTAGGTGTACACTCGGGGCTATGAGCACACCATCTCCCAGGACCTCATGGATTTTCTCCCTGGCTCTGCAGGGTGGGGTGGCAGGTGAAGCCTCTAGGAACAGGCCATGGCCCTCAGCCCCAGGCTTCCTCTTCCTGCAATGTTATGAGACCACCACCCAATACGTAAATCTGGGAATGTGGATTCCAACCATTCTGAGTACAGAGACACCCAGAGGCCTCAGTTTACTCACCTATAAAGTGGGTGAATAGCACCAGCACCCGCTTGTTGGGAAGGCACACCAGCCATGCACTAAGAGCTAGGCTAGGTCCTTGGAGCTGGTAGCCCTGGGGTGTTGGTGAAACCCCAACAACACTAAGCACTATAGCTGAGCCCCATTCTGAGCAATAATTCACCCCATATCCCCGCTGCAACTCTGGGAAGCAAGCTCACGACTCCAGAGAAGGGAGGTCATGTGTCCAGGGTCCCTGGACCCTGCTGAATGAAGAGCCTGGTGAAAATGGATCAAGCAGCTCGTGTCTGCTCACAGGCAGGCCTGGGCTCCTGTCCTGCCTGGTGGCGTGAGGCCTGGAGGTAGTAAGTGGGCACAGGCAAGGTGCTGAGCCTCGGCTGGCCAGATGCAGCCTCATGGGTAAAAGCATAGATGTAATGAGGTCATGGCAAACAACTTCCCCATCTGTGAAATGGGGACAGTTATGGAAGTCCCATCAGAGGGCTGCTGGGAGGAAGAGAACGGTAAGACAGAGGCCTGGCCAGAGGGTTACTGTCCCCACTTTACCGAGTCTTTCACTCTGCAGGTTTCCTTCTCAGACCTGGGAGAGCCACACATACCTGCTCTCCGAGGTAACAGAGAAAGGAAGGCACAAGGTGGGGGTTGTTGAGTTTAAGTTAAACACCCACATGAATTTATTAAATCCAGACTGTGTTAAAGGGCGGCGGTCTGGGAGGAGGGGGCTGGTCAGGGAACGAGGGACAAGATGATGGATCGCCGTGGGCATCCCACAGAGGGGCCCTGGCCTTTCCCCCGCCTGGCCCACCCCCTCGGCACTGCCGCATCGGCTTCACCATGATTCCCGATGGTGCTGGGCTGGCGGGGCAAGACGGCTAAAACACAGAAACAGACAGACAGATGGCGCCTCCACAAACCATGTGCCCTGGCCTGCCCCAGGCCCAACACCATGCGTTGGGCCCTGGCCAAAGGGGCATCTCCTGCTGCCCCGGCCTGATCTGTCCAGGGAAAGGGCAATAGGGAGGGGAGGCGAGGGGCCCAGGTTGGCAGGGGCAGTGGTCACCAGGAGCCGGAGCAGACGATGATGACCAGAAACAGTTAATCCCTTTTCTTGTCCTCTGCTGGCTTTGGAGGGACTTCCTGGGACTCGGTGGCAGAGCTGGCCCCCTGGGTGGGCTTGGCAGGCATGGGTGTAGAGGCCTCCTCCCCGGTGGTGGTGGTGATTGTGGCAGGGTCAGGAGTGGGTGGGGGTAGGAGGGCCCCTGTTGCTGTTGGGGCCTCGGCCATGGGGGCAGTTGCTGTCGGGGCCTCGCCACTCATGCCAAACTCGTTCACCCGTGTGGGGTCGACGCGGTAGATCCACCGTTGGTAGAGGTAGATGAAGAAGACCACATCTAGAGGTGGGGTGAGGGGGTCACTGTGAGGGAAAGGGGCCCGCCTGGCCCACCATCAGGGCTGGGTGGGGTGGTCCTGCAAAGATTAGGCCAAGCCCCCTCCCTCTGCCCAGGGCCCTAAGTCCTGTCTGTGCCTACCCAGCTCCAGTGGGAGCCTCCCGCTGCCCACCC